CCTTTAGTTTATAGGTAGTGAAAAAAGTTAAAAGGAAAGGTTGTTGTGGGTGAGGATAAGTTCCGTCAGGCGGATGAGGGTGTTGGTGGAGGGGGACTGGTTGGGCCTGCGGGAGAGGAAGAAGCGGAGGGCTTTTAGACCATCTGCATGGGGGAATACAGGTGTTACAGGGACTGGATGTCTATAGTGAAGATGAGGTATTGGGGGCCAGGGAATGGGAAGTCTTGGAGAAGGCGGAGGGTGTGGGTAGTGTCCCAAACGTAGGTGGGGAGTTCCTGGACTGGGGGGATAAAATGGCGTCAAGGTAAGCAGAAATGAGTTCAGCGATGCAGGAGCAGGCAGAGACAATGGGTTGGCCGGGCCAGTCAGGTTTGTGGATTTTGAGAAGGAGATAGAAACAGGCAGTAAGGGGTTGGGGAACGATCAGGTTGGAGGCTGTGGACAGGAGATCTTCCGAAGTGATGAGGTTGTTGATGGGCTGTGAGATGATGGTTTGGTGATCAGGGTGAGGGCACAATCAAGGGGCTGGTAGGAGGAGGTGTCAGAGAGTTGGCGTCTGGCCTCAGCAATGTAGAGGTCAGTGCGCCATACTACCACTGCTCCCCCCCGCCTTATCAGCAGATTTAATGGTGAGGTTGGAGTTGGAGCGGAGGGAGTGGAGGGCTGCATGTTCTGTGGGGGAGAGGTTGGAGTGAGTGAGAGGGGTAGAGAGATTCAGGCGATTGATGTCACAAAGGCAGTTGGAGATGAAGAGGTCGAGGGAGGGCAGGAAGCCGATGGATGGTGCCCAGGGGGTTGAGGTATCATCGTCTAAAATTGTCTCAATGCAAAATGAAACCATAGATATAAACATTATGTCATCATAGAATCATTGAATTTTACAGTAGAAAAAGAGTCTAGTCAGCTTTTTGTGTCTGTATCAGCTCCTGAAAAACATACCCAGCTAGTCCCATTCTCCATAGCCCTCTAAATCATCACTTTCAAATATATATCCAGCTCTCTTTTGAAATCTCCAATGGAATCCACTTCCACCACTCTTCCAGGCAGTGCTCTCCAAAACCTTACAACTCTCTGAGTAAAGAAATTTCTCATCATCTCACGCCTTGCTCACAATCTTGAAATTGTGACCCCTAGTTACTGACATACTAACTAGTGACAGCAGAATATCCTTATTTTGCATGCTAAAATTATTCAAAATTTTGACCTCAATAAGTTCTTTAATCTTTCCTTCTATCTAAGATCATTTATTCTTAGAATCATTCTAGTAAATTTTGTTTGAACTCTCTCCAGGGATTAAAACTACTACCTTAAATAAGGTTCCCAGAACTGAACACAATGCTTCAAATGCGGTCTGGCCAATGATTTGTAGAGGGGTAACATCACTTCCTTGTTTTTATACTCTATGCCACTATTTATAAACCCAAGGATCTCATAAGACTTCTTAACAACTGTTTCAATTTGCCTGACCACCTTCAGAGAATTTTGCGCTTGAACCCCAAGGTCCCTCTGTTTCTGTACTCCCCTCGAAGTTGTACCATTGAGCCTATATTGTCATTCTGTGTTTCTTCTACCATAATGCACAGATTTTTCTGCTTTGAAATTCATCTGCCAGGTGTCTGCTCAATTGGTGAACTTATCAATATCTGTCTGAAGTCATTCAGTGTCACCCTCATAACTTACTATTCTCCCTAACTTAGTACCATCTGCAAGTTTAGAGATATTGCCCTCAACATTCATCTCCAAATTGTTTATATAAATCAGAAAAAGTAAGGGCCCCAACATTGATCGCTGGGGAACATTATGTTCAACTCATCTCCAATCTGAGAAATGCCGATCTATACCTACCCTCTGTTTCCTCTCGTTTGGATAACTTCTAATCCACACTGCCAAGGACTCGTTAATGCCAAACATTTCTAACTTGCTAAACTACCTGTCATGTGGCAACATATCAAATGCTTTCTCAAAGTCAAAGTATACAACATCTACTGCACTACCCTCATCCATTGCAGTTATCACCTCATCATGAACTCAACTAAATTTGTCAGGCATGACTTGCCCTTGACAAAGCTATGTGATTTATCTTGTTTTTCTCCAAGTGTATATTTACCTTTTCCTGTAATCTGGCCTCCATTAGTTTTCCCGCTATTGATGTCGAGCTGACATGTTTGTAGTTTCCTGGTTTATCCTTTGCCCCTTTCTTAAATAATGGCATCACATTTGTAGTCATCACATGCTAATGATAAGAAGAATATCATCCAGTCTATTCATATAAAAGCAAACAAAGATTCTATTTGTTCATGTTCTTAGGTATAGTCATTGCAGTAAATATTCTAGTAATTAATTATAACTATTTACAACTATTGTGGTAAAGGTGTCCAATATATTTAGGCATTTGATTATTAAAGTAAAGGTAAAATTGATGCATGGTTGCAACTTTGAGAAGGTAATTTTTGTTATAAAGAGTTCAGAAAGACATTTGAAACAGTGTCCTAAAGATATAATTACCAAGAAAACATACAACTTATGTTCCTAGCAGGATATCTGTGTTGTAAGAACTATTTACAAAGTTGAACATTTTACGACAAACAAAGGAAACAAACTAAGGGCCACCAACAGTTTGAATTCAGTTCAGAATCAGATTTCAGTTCAGAGGAACCAGGCTTTCAGTTATTAAGAACTGTTTTACCCCAGTAGAAGTGTAGTTTAACTTTACGAACTCTTCAAGCTATGAGAATTTGAGAAGACGTTTACAAGCTGTCACAACTGAAAAGAGGCTTAGGCCATCAGAACTGAAGTGAAACTTCAATAACACTACAACTGAAAAGAAATCCAAGTCTTCAGAACCAGAAAGATACTCCTAGGCCATAGAAACTGGAAAGACTTAGTAAAACATGAAGAGTCAAAATTGGAGTGATTGTTCACTGAGATTTAGTATCTGTAAAGGAAAATGTTGAAGCTTTGTTTTGTTGTTCATGTTAAGATCTTTTTAAACTGTCATATAAAATATATTTGATAGTTTTGGTTCAATAGTTATTTGATTATACAAAAGTTGAGCATTGCTGAAAAAATACATATTTTATTGAAACTTTTTGTCTTGCACTCATCAGGACAGATTGCAAGAATACTGATGTAAATCATAGAACCATACAGTACATAAGAGATAGTAGGAACTGCAGATGCTGGAGAATCCGAGACAACAAGGTGCAGGGCTGGATGAACACAGCAGGCCAAGCAGCATCATAGGAGCAGAGAGGCTGACGTTTCGGGCCTAGACCCTTCATCAGAAAAGGGGGAGGGGAAGGGGGTTCTGAAATAAATAGGGAGAGAGTGGGAGGCGGATAGAAGATGGATAGAGGAGAGGATAGGTGGAGAGGAAACAAACAGGTCGAAGAGGCGGGGATGGGGCCAGTAAAGGTGAGTGTAGGTGGAGAATTAGGGAGGGGATTGGTCAGTCCAGGGAGGACGGACAGGTCAAG